GCGGCCTACTTAGCGGTGGGCTTGATTAACATGGAGTGATTAATAGTTGCTCCCTCTGTTCGTAACCAACCCCAACAGCGGCGGCATCGGAGATCTAATCGCACGATATTTATTGCCCTGCGCGTCGTCCACTTCGGGGCCCTCGGCCACGGCGATTTTGCGAGCTCGCTCTCTCTTCCCTTAACCCCCTTCCACGTTCTCGTTCTTTTCGATTTTGTTTATTTTGGTTTTTATTTTCGTCTCAGATCGCTTCACTCGGAGCCGGTCCGCGGGCACCTCGCCTCTTCGAGTTTCGGTCTTCCAGCATCGCCTGAATTTCTCTCGGTTCCCGTTTCAGCGCGAGTTGTTATTTATAACAACGTTTTAATGATATTTATTAATTACGATTTACACGACAAACAGCAGGTATATAATATTCGTTTGAAATAACGACGTAAACTTTATTTATCATATTGTATTAAGATTATGCTTGTTTGCTTTTGCATTGATAGCGATAAATATTATTGAAGTGTTAATAATTATCCGTAATCATATATTTTGATAATTCTAATCCATTTGAATAAAAAGAATCTATGCTTTCGATAAATTCGAGATGATACGCTGTTGGATTTTGCGCGAGAGACATATCTATCTCGTTTGTTCCCCCTTTACATGTTGCGTCAGCGTTACGTTGGCGCCGCATTCGTCTATCCAATCTGTAGCCATGTTTACAATCCCAGTTTCGATGGCTTGCAATTGTTCTGACCAGAGATGACTATTTGTAAATAGATATGGATACTTTATTCTTTTAAGTTTAATCGATTTTTACAAAAATAGTTATACAGGGGTATTAATACTAGGAGTAATACGTATTCCCGGAAAAAAAAAATATTGAAAATGAAAATTATAAATGATATTATTTTTGTAACGATTACGTCCGAAAAATATGGTAGTTTGAGTATTTAAGGCATTGTTTTAAAATGCATATCTACATACAAATGTAATATATATTTTTCTGTCCAGTTCACAACGTCGAAATAAAAAGGAATTTATTTAATTTTTGTACTCAATTTTACATAGAGTGTAATCTGCGTGAGAAGAAAACGTTATTGACAGATTAATTATTGTTTACCAATCAAACGACCAGAAATTTAAAAAAATGTCGCGATTTTCATTCCTCGTTATTGCAAAAAATATTTGATAAGGAAATGCACCGAGAGCAAAGTACATAGCAGATTATATAATTCTTAATTGTAATTAAGATTTTAATATGTTTATTTATGTATAAGATCGAATTTCACAAACCTTGAACTTTTTTAGATGAACTTTTTTAGAATTAAAAATTAAAATATTTGTCATAGTAATCTGACAATGACAAAACCGAAGGGTCCCTGCGTGAATTCTTCAGTGCCGATAAGTAAGAACCGTAATGTCAACGCGGTTACCCGCTTTTCTCGGCGTTTATTTATACGCCCGTTCTGGACAACGAGCTGATAATTAAGACGCTGTGTAATTAGCGATTAACGCACATTATTAACAGCGCAAACAGTCCGCCGTCGGCGAGTCAGCGCGCCATATGGGGGACTTAGCAAGTCGCAGTAATGGGCGGATACCGTGGAACAGATATCGTCGATACGTTTCGCCGTGCATACAAAAGACATTTCGATCTCCGGCACGGGCCATCGCGCTCGGATTTCGTCGCTTACGAAGCACTGCCGACATTTGGATATACGTGGGACGTTTACATGGTACAGACACGAAGCC